GAAGGAGGCTGGTGACATCATCCATGTAACTCCTCAGTGGGGGAAGCCTCTTGCCAGTTGGGAGTTTGATCCCCCCAACCATTTGCCTTGCCCCGATGAGGATTATCTCAAAGGCTGCTACAAACAGTATTGGAGAAATAGTACACCCCATCGCGATTCCTACTTCGAGCCGCTGCCATCTGGTGGTGAAGTCCTGGAGGGAAAAACACATCTGCAAGTTGCTAAAGTACTGAGCTACCAGGCTCTTGACGCAGGTGGGCATGTGGAAGAATTCCATGGCATAGTTGACCAGCTGATGCGGAACTGATCCGTACGCGTTGGCAAGGTCAAGCCAGATGACATACAGGTCGGTCTTCTCCCGCTTGGCCTTCTGGATCTGGTCCCAGATCATAGTGGAGTGCTCTACACATCCTGGGAAACCTGGAACTCCTGCCTTCTGGCAGTTGGTGTCAACATAGCCATTCTCGAGCAGATAGTTAGTCATCCTCCTGGCTAGCACTGAGAAGAAGATCTTTCCTTCTACATTCAGTAGTGCAATGTTCCGGAATTGGCTAATGTCTTTGGAGTTCGTTTCCTTAGGTATGAAGACTGCTACCGCTCTTTGCCACTCAGATGGAATGATTGGCTTTTTCCAGGCAGTTCTCATCAGATACCATAGTAGCTCTAGTACCTTGGGGCAGTTCTTATAAAGCTTGTAGGGGACCCCATTGGGACCAGGTGCGGAAGAGGACCTTGCCTTCTCCACGACTTGCCTGACTTCGCTGAGCTTGAGGGGCATGATGTTGAACTCAACTGTTGGCTTTGCCGGCTGGGGCACGTATCCTGGAGTTCCTAAAGGGACGCTCCTTTGTGGATCACTGTACTGCTCTTTGACATACTGCTCCAGTTTCTCCTTGGTGGTTTCGAGCCTGCCACTCTTCTTTTCCTCCAGTAGTTGTCTGGCATGCTTGAAGGGATCCTTGAAGAAGTTGGCTCGCTCTCTCTGCTTCCGCTGGCTGCGCTTGCGGATGCGTTCAGCTCTGCGAAGCCCGGCTAGCCTTTTCCGGACCTCCTCCCACAGGACTTTCAGACCCTCTCTCTCTGCGTGGGTTGCCTTCCTCCAGTTCTTGCGGAGTTGCCGACGCCTTTGCACAAGTTGGAGGATTTCCCTTTCCCTCCTTCCCTTCTCTCTCCTGGCGGTCCTCTGTTTGGGGACAATTTCGCCAAACTTGTCTTTGCAGGTCTGGTATATTATGTCTCCAATCAGGTTAAGCTTAGTCTCGCCCCCTCCTCGCAGTGATCTCTCTAGGGTCTTGATCAGGTTCAAGTCCAAATTGCGCCATGCCTCTGCTTCATTTGACTTCGGCCACTTCAGCTTGCTCCTTCTGGCTGGTTCTTTGGTCTCTTCATTTGGCTCTGTTCTGTCTAACGTGTTGGGGACTGGGTCTTCATGCTCACGTGGAGGCTCAGCCTCCACCAGGGGACCTTCCTCTGTGACTCTCATGCCTTCAGCAACGTTAGGTCCTTCGGCTCTGTGGTTTTTTCCCTGGCTTTTGGTCCTTCTTGTCTCACCTGCTAACGCAGTGCAAGGTTGCTGTTGGCCTTTCTGTCCACACTTTGCTTTCCCCTGATGGATCCGTAAGCCTCTAAACGTGGTCACTTTCTCCCATCCACATGCACACATTCTGAGGATCTTCTCCTCGTTTACTGGAGTTCTGGTGTTCTCGTTGTCCATGTTCGTTGCCGTCGTCACCGTGTGGTCTGTCCTGTTGGGCCCATCTTTCGTCCCACCTCTCGGAGGGCCCGCGGGTTGTTTCTCGTTATGTTTCTTTGTAGTTAGGTTTGGGTGTCTCTCTCGCAAAAGACTAGTGGGTTAGGTAACTAGCCACCCACTCCCGGTGCGGTCTTTCCCTGCTGCCATCCAGTCTTTCCTGGCTGTCCTCCAGTCTTCCCTGGACTCCAACTGCCCTATTCACAGTAGTCACTGGGTTCGCCAGAACTTCAGTAATTGCACAGGAAGATGTTACCACCTGCTGGGCATTGCTGCCTGTCGCACCTCCTCCAGTGCCCATGGGTCAGCTGCAGGGTCATCAGCCAGAAACCACCGTTCACCGACGTTTCGCTCCTTTAATTCTGGAACGTCTCCTGGTGGTGGAGCAGAAACTTATACTACTCTGATTTTCAAGCAAGCCAAAGTGATTCATACCTACATCAAATTAAGAACTATATACCGCAAATTAGTGATGAATTTAAATTATTATGTGAGGCTCCTGTGTCATTAAATGAAATTAGGGATGCAATGAAATCGATGAAAAAAGGGAAGTCGCCTGGTTGCGATGGCCTCACTTTAGAATTCTTTATACACTTCTGGGAAAGCAACCCTTTTTATCAATGCTTCAAGAATGTATTAAATCTGGAACGATGATTCCCACTATGAAACAAGGAGTGATATCTCTTATTCCCAAACCGGACAAAGATGTAACTTTAATTGATAATTGGCGTCCTATTACACTTTTAAATTTTGATTATAAATTATTTGCTTCTATATTTGCCAAGAGATTAAAACAACATTTACATCATATCATTGATGAAACGCAGACCGGCTTTATGAAGGGACGTCATATTAGCTGTAATACTCGTCTTGTTCTGGATCTTATTGATTACAAAGAAGAAATTGAGTCTGATGCAATCATCTTATTCCTTGACTTTTACAAGGCTTTCGACACTGTAGAGCACCAGTTCCTTATAAGCTCTTTAAGGGCCTTTGGATTCCCATCCAGTTTTATTAATGTTGTCCAAATCTTGTACAAAGATATTGATAGCTGTTTAATTTTAAATTCACGAACATCACCAAGGTTTCCTATTCTTCGCGGAATAAGACAGGGTTGCCCTTTAAGCCCATTGTTATTTTTAGTGGTTGTAGAAACATTATCCATTGATATTTTGCGTAATGATAACTTTGTTGGTCTTAGTGTCTTTAACAGAGAGATTCGTATTTCACAATTAGCAGATGATACTACTTTATTCTTAAAAGATAAAATGCAAGTTTCTCCAGTATTAACTACAATTAATGCCTTCTCTAATGCTTCTGGACTCAAACTTAATTTATCCAAGTGTGAAATTATTTGCTTATTTGACAATGTAGAATCTGAAATTGAAAATATACCAGTTAAAAATGAAGTGAAATATTTGGGGATTCATATAACGAAAAATTTAATTAGTAGACAGTTTCTGAATTTTTCTTCACGTCTGTCCAAAACTAAATTTATTTTTAATAGTTGGCTACAAAGAGATCTGTCAATTTTAGGCAGAGTCTTTTTATCCAAAGCAGAGGGATTATCCAGGTTTGTGTACCCTTCCCTGTCTTTAGCTGTAGATAATCACACCTCCAAAAATATTGATACAATTTTTCTTGATTTTGTTTGGAACAATAAATCTCACAAATTGAAGAAATATATTTTAGCAAACAAAAGAAGTGAGGGCGGTCTTGAAGTCCTGAACTTTGACAAGATCCATTATTCCCTGTCTATGATTATTCCGCTTATGCGTCATCAACCTACGCCTTTGTTATTGTAAGAGGTTAGCGATCCCTAGCGGCGAAAAAAATACATATTGTATCTTTAACCATCTGAAATGCTTGTCTGCTTTCAGGTGTTATGTGAGTCTGGGAGGGCAGAGTCTTGGCATTCAGACCTACACATGGGACAAGAGCAGCTATGGGGATGGAAAGAAGTACATTGCTTCCGCTTACCCTGCCTCACCTTGATTCTCTGTCATCTAAATATCAGCATCAACAAACTCACAACCAACACAACTCATCTGCAATTTTAATTCTTCACTTGATTATGTGAGGTTGATGTTGGATCTAATAAAAAACAGGAACAGAAAAACACCCCTCCTGTCTGTACTTTTACTTGTCGGGATCTAATTCATTACACATTCTCCTAAGCTACAACTGTCAAAACTGTACACATCTTTTAGTCTGCTGTTAAAGGGATAGTTCACCCCAAAAGGAAAATTCTGTCAGTAATTATTCACCCTCGTGATGTTCCAACCCCTTAAGACTTTCGTTCATCTTCGGACCTCAAATTAAGATATTTTTTGATTAAATCTGAGAGCTCTCACTTAGGCTTCTTAGACCATAGGCTTCTAAGGGATCGAAACTGGCAGGCCCAGAAAAGTTAAAGACATCGTTAAAATAGTCCAAGTGACTACAGTGGCTCTATCTTTAAGTTTATCAAGCGACGAGAATACTGTTTGCGCGCAAAAAGCAAACAAAAATAACAACTTTCATATAGAAAAGGGAATCCAAGGCACTCTTCTTTAGAAAATTAAAAAGCCTTTATTAAACTGGCTCTATTATGATTGAAAAAATTATTAAAACATGTGGGGGAAAATACAACCCACGCGTAGCGGCAAAGAAGAGTGCCTTGGATTCCCTTTTCTATATGACATTGAACTCTCGACCCCAAAGAGCACCTTCTAATACTTTTTTTGAACTCCTTGAGCACCCTGGACTTTTTGTCTCTTTCTAAAATAACAACTTTATTCAACTATTCATTTCCTTCTCTGTGGGCCGTGAGATTTCACGTAGTGTAACTGCGCAAAGCTTCTGAGTTGTACGTCGTTGTACACGTAGGCTCACTATTGGCCGACGCTGGTCGTGTGTGACGTACAACCTAGAAGCTTTGAGCAGTTTCACTACGTAAAATCTCGAGGCCCACAGAGAAGACAATGAATAGTTGAATAAAGTCGTTATTTTTGGGGGGTTTTTGCGCACAAAAAGTATTCTCGCTTGATAAACTTAAAGATAGGGCCACTGTAGTCGCTTGGACTATTTGAACGATGTCTTTAACTTTTCTGCAATAAATTGTAGGTCACAGAATTTTTTCTACATTTTTAGATTTGACTTCAAAACAGAATTTCCAGTTGATAATCTAAGCGTATCTTTACATTTCAATACCTTCCGTAATTATACAAAAAAGGAAGAAATAAAAGAACTGAAATAAATAACACCAAACTCTTACAAAATGTTTTATTTACATAAAATGTAATATTCCTCTAGACTTCAAGCATTTGACAGTGAGAGAACTGATGATGAGGTTATGGATCAGGGTCAGAGACGCAACGGAAGCCCAGGTTAGAGGCAGAACTGTCCGGGGTATTCTGACTACGGGCTGCACACCTGTATCTGTAGCAGTAAGACTACAGGGAGAGAAAAATGTCTTTACAATCATGTATGTAAATAAGTTGAAAAAAAGCTTGTTTCAGGGTTTATACCCATTTCTACAAATACATTTCCATGACATTTCAATGATTTTTAAGGCAAATATTCATGACCTAATGTTCCATGAAACGCCTGTGTAAAATAGGAATAAAAATCCATGTTCAAACTCAAAATCACAGCATAGCTTAACCAATTAATGACAAGCTATGTGGTTTATTACAAAATAAACATTTATTTAAATAATGCTGACATATCAGTAAGACGGTTAGATAAAATACTGTGTCTGATCCTCAGAACTCCACTGTGTAGCAATGGATTAACATACATCAACGGGAGGCAACAATGTTAAATAGGTAAGTAAGTGTCCAGTAACACTGACAGTAACTTTACAAGGTGGCAGTGCCAGAGACAAACTTTTGGAATACAAAATTTGGTAACTAAGAACATTTTAAAACAGCTTTGCCTCTTATTTACCATTAATCTCATTGGATAACCATCAATCATCAACAAGATAACATCCCTCCCTATGTGAATTCCCCCAAAACAGTCAATTATTTTTCCATTTCTGCATTTTACACCAAAGTACAAACTGCAACTACCAGATGTTACCCCACGCCAGGGTCAGAAATTAACTCTTTGTTTTAGCGATGACTAATCTGAACGTCTCTGATTGGCCATCACATTCAGAAGCTCAACAGAAACTTGCATGATTGGTTATAATACTCAACGCTGCAAAACAAAATCTGATGGAATGCCACAGTTGGATAGATCGAATGAACGTTAAGTATTGTAGTTTGTCTAACCAATATTATCATTTAAACATATTCTATTATATAAATACTTTGACATACATTTTCATGACTTTTCCAAAACTTTCTGAGTTTATTTATTTTTCCAGACCTGAAAAATTACTGACTTTTCCAGGTTTTTCCATGACCGTATGAACCCTGTAGTTTTTACAGATGAAGGTTGTGTTTTCCACTTAGGTGGATATATGTGCAGACTAAATATGTAGAGTCTAGAGACAGACCAGCTTTACAATACTGTTCAAAATTCGGTAAAATAAGTCTCTTATGCACACCAATGCTTTTATTTGCTCAAAAATACAGCAAAAACAGTTGTATTTAAAATAAATGTTTTCTATCCTAATGTATTTTAAAATGTAATTTATTCCTGTGATGTCAAAGCTGAGCTTTTAGCAATTCAATAATCTTCACAACCCATTCTAAAATGCTGATTGGTGCTCAAGAAACATTTTTTATTATCAATGTTGAAAACGTACTGCATAATATTTTAAAAAAAATTCTTTGATGAATAGAAAGTTGAAAAGAGCAGCATTTATTTGAAATCGAAATCTTTTGTAACATTATAAATGTCTTTACTGTCACTTTTGATCAACTGAATCAGTTTTTGCTAATTAAAATTTTTTAATTTCTTAAAGGAAAAAAACAATCTCACTGGCCACAAACGTTTGAATGGTAGTGTACTTCCAGCACTATTTTATCTGACATAAAATATCCCATCGCCTCAAAAACCCTGAGGTCCGTTTGTCAGTCATACAGTAGATGGCTTTGTGTGTATGTTTTACCTTGTGGCACATGTACGATCCTCCTTTCTTGACTCTGTCTGTCCCTGATTCTGGTCCTTTCTGTGGAAAAAATTTGCAGCATTAGTATAATGGGTTAAAATTCCTTTTAAGTATAAAGAAAGACCTGTTAAGCGTGGATGTGTGTGCATGCTTCCTTACAGGATTATATCTGTCTTCTGTATTGTGATGTACATTCCACCAGTCTGCAGTCCACTCCCATGCGTTCCCCACCATGTCATACAGACCAAAGCCATTGGCAGGAAATGACATCACCTGCCCAAGACATCACTTAAATTATTTACAGTGGATATACACAAGTCTACACACCCCTGTTAAAACAGCAGTTTTTTTTTCGATGTAAAAAATTATCATACTTTTTCACCTTTAATGTAAAAATTTCAGCGTATGGAATGCCACTGAAAACCAATTAAAAGAAAATAGATACGAATAAAACCTTCAAACAACAAAGTTTGCACACTCCTTTATAATTGTGTGAGGGCTACAAACAAATTTCAAGGGAGGTGCCCTCTTAATTTAACAAATCTGGGCTGCGTTTCCCTAAACAAGCATCGTAAACCTAAGAAGATCGTAGAAGAACCATTGCATAGCCTCAACGATCAACTTGGCTCACAATGCATTTGAGAAAAGCAGCCCTGAACCCTTTTTGCAAAGAAGAATGGGAAAATATTCCCTTGTAAAGATGATAGACTCTTATCCAGACTGCAGAGTGCTGTGATAAAGGGACAAAAAGCACTAGCCTACCTCAACGCGTTTTCATTCAGAGCCAGCGTCACATGACTCAAACCAGCTGAAACGGACAAGGAGATCAGTGAGAGGCGCTTGGCACTGCCCTGGCAAATTTGAAAGGCTGCACTGCACGGCACACGCCAAAAAAGCACAATATTTAATTTCAAAGGAAACGTGACTGGCGAATTAAAAAAACGAGGGTAAATATCGGGATAGCTTTTCCCAGGTGGAAAGAGCTAATGAAGGAGAAAGACTTTGAAAGGGACCCTGAAGTTGCCTGCTTTCTTCTCGACAAGTAAGTCATTGTTACGGTCTAAATTACAAGGTTTTTTTCAATGCTTGGTTGTGTAATTAATTATATAGGCAGCATAACTGTAGAACATGTATAGTTAAACTCGATGAAGTGCAATTGGATGTTGTCATGGCTTCTTGGTACATAACGGCTACCGTAGTTGCAACACTCATTTGGAAAAGCGAGGCACTAGAGAGCACTATTCGTTTGAATGCAAAATACATTTTCACCGCTAGATAGGAGAAATTCCTACACAGTGACCCTTTAAAGGTGCAAACGTTCTGATATGATTTATCTTTGTTTCATTTTTTACATCACAAAAAATGCTGCTTTAACAGGGGTGTGTGTATTTTTTTTATAACCAATGTACATGCTAAACATCTGCAGTCACTGCTTTAACTTATCTTCTCTCAAATCAAATACACAAGGGTTGAGCTGTAAATCAGGATAAAGGGCTACTATAAATATCTACAACTTTAAATAAAACTATAAACAAAAACAAAACTGCATTCATTTATGACAATATACTGTACATGTATAAGTATCTTTTGTATTTTGTCTGCTAATTTATTCTTAGCGTTACCGGTGATGTGTTAGCATAGCCGTCCTCTGCTGTGTTGTGTTTAGGGAAATCTCCCTGCCACAGGTTAGCATAGTGTTGCCCTTTAGGCATTAGTTTATTTCCCCATGGGTACAGCCTAACAAGAGTGATAGAGGGAGAATATGTTAAAAAATACATTCAAATTGACAAAAAGTGAGAACAAAACACAGACACAAACACACCTATCCTGAAGTCCCCCTCTACAGGCCAACTCCCACTCAGCTTCAGTAGGAAGTCTGCGTTTGGCCCAGTGACAGTACGCCTGTGCATCAGCCCATGACACATGCAGAACAGGGTGATTCATCCTAGATACAAACACAGAGATTATATTTAATATGACTTCTTACACAGGTATATGACTTATAAACAGATAAGCATATGTGTATGCAATATAGTTGCCGTTGTATTGCAATCATTCACTGCTTGCTCATGTGATATTGCTTACATATATTTTCTTTACCTGTGCTCTATGGCTGAATCTGGTCCTTCTGGATGTCTCCAGTCTGCACCTTTCACTGGTGACCACCAAGGAGCAGCAGCCACCTACTGACCATAAATAAACAGGCAAACTGTAGCACAGTCAGTAGTCTATTCTTGGCTATAGCAAAAGTTGACTATATTTGTAGTTCATTTTTAAGTTTTTCAATGTCTTTAAGACATTCTTTTCCCTGGCTCCCCTTGAATTCATATCGATTCAATTTTACACTGAAATATATTTAGGTATTGACAAATAGGATGGACATAACCTTTTTTTTTTTTTTTTTTTACATTGAGATTTTAGGTTTAAAATATATACATGTAACGGAAAGTATATTTTTAGATGCTCTAATTGGTCATCACATCTGTTTTTTATTTCTTTACAATTTTGAGTCTCTTTTGATCTTTCTTCAGATCATTTGTATTTATGTACTAATAGTCATTCATATAATAATCCTGCAGCGTGACAAATGTTATATATATATTATATATATATATATATATATATTATATATATATATATATATATATATATATATATATATATATATATATATATATATATTACAAACATAAATAAATAAAATGTATAACCAGCAGCCAGTTGGTCATTTGTACAGAAAGAAAGAAAGACATTTCTCACCGCTTGTAAAAGAGCGCTCTTCACCTCCTGACTCAGCAGTCCCTCAAAAACAAAAGAGTCTCCAAAACGCTCAGCCTGAAGATATAAATAGCCGATTGAGCTAGCATAAGTATTGATTATTTGTCTTATGGCCCTGTAAATGGATATTATTTACAACATAATTTCCAGAAAAGTTGGGACATTTTGTAAAATGCTATAAAATCAACAATCTGTGATTCGTTAATTCTCTTGAACCTTTATTTAACTAACAAAAGTACAAAGAAAAGATTAACCAACTTAATTGTATTTTGTAAATATAAACATTTTGATTTTGATGACTGCAACACACTCCAAAAAAGATAAGCCACAATAAGTAGGTGAATTGGTAACACTGTAGGTGAGAGTATTGTTATCGGGTTAAAAAAAGAAGCATTTCTGCCAATGGGATTGTACCTCTGTGATGTAGCCTGTCTGGTTGGTGAAGTGTTGGAACTGCTTGTTTGTGACCTCGTGCTCTTCCATGTAAAAAGGGTCCAGCCTCACTCTCCTCTGCGGCCCCTCTCCATCTTGTGGTATTCCTGGGTCATCTGTTCCCATCATAAACCAACCTCCCTGCAGAAGCACCAGCTACACACACATACATACACAACATTCAGATTGTTCTGTGGCTGTTTTGTTAAATGTTTAATGCAAAAGTTAATGAAAATACTTTTTTATCATCATGTCTTTTTCTCATATAACTTTCTTTCCTCCATGATAAGTTATTTACATCAGAATGTTGTTCTTGTCAATATAATGAAAGTAAATGGTGACCAAGGCTGTCATTTGAGTCATTCCACACAAAAAGTTGTTATATGGCTATAGAATATTTCTGTCCGGTTTCACATACAAGACTTAAGCCTAAGCCTAGTCCCAGAGTAAAATACATGTTTGAGCTGTCTTAAAGGGATAGCTCATCCAAAACTGAAAATTCTGCCATCATTTACTCACCCTCAAGTTGTTCCAAGCCTGAAATTCATACAGGTTTAGAACAACTTGAGGCTGAGTAAATTAGAGTAAAAACAGAATTTTCATTTATGAGTGAACTCAAAGCAACTTTGCACTGACATACCTTGAAATATGTCAGTGCCATTGTTTAGTCTCAAGATGCACACCAGTAATGTTTTTTTAAAGGAACATTTAAAAGACAATATACAACAAGATAAATATGCTAATTGAACTAAGGCCTAATCCTGGCTTAATCTAAACCCTGTCTGTGAAACCAGGCCTTAGAGTAGTGCATTCAAATCTATAGAACTACTTTTATAATATGTTTATTGCGCTTTTCTCTATTTTTTTTAGATTGACATACACTGGTGACTGGTCCCACGCCCCCTTTATCAATTTTTTTTAATTTATTTTTTTAATATAATTTCTCCTCAATGAACTTTAACTAAACAATACTTTACTTGTCTAGCCTATGATAATGATAACAAACCTACCTTAGTGTGTACACCAGGCTCTATCGTGTGTGGACTTTCATTTGCTGTTTTGGAGTATATATTTGCATCATCTTGATGTTCCAGATTGTTTTCATAACTCACATCAACAGCAACCTCCCTTTTCAGTCCCTGACAACCACAACCCGTGCTCTGCGACTCCGAAGACTGCGGACTCTGTTCGAGCACGATGTCGCCTATATCACAATGTGCTGCCACAATGCATAGAAATAAAACCACAGAGCTGTTCAATATTGATGCCATAACCAGTTTAAACTCTGCTCGTGTTGTATTGCACTTCCGGCTAAGCGGCTATGGTCATGTGATCAGTCAGGTGACGTGTCTTTCTGAAATGATTAAGTTCACTAGCCTGAATTCATCTAACATTTATAAAGATATCTGTTTACTTTCCCATTCATCTCAATGGCAATTACTGCCATTTAATGTCGTGTAACGTTTGCTTTAGTAACCCAGTTCTGGTGTTGTGTTGAAATTGATGACTAGAGAAATCTGTGACTAGAGGTCGCTGTTCATTAGGCTAAAATTCGTGCGAGAATGCGCCAGGCGCGCGTGCACTGGCGGGGAGAAACAGGTTCATTACCTAGGCTACTTCAAGAAATAATATTTTTAGACAAGTTGTCCGAGTGCAATGCTTGCTCATCAATTCTGATTCTGTCAAACAAATAAAACGATCTATTACATTTGGAGTATTATTTATTATTTATTTATGCTCTTCAAAGTCACACTTGTGATATCTAAACTTTTCTGTATTTTTGAAAGCATCCTGGTCTGATTGCTCTTATGTGAACATATGATATGCTGCATGAGCCTATACAGCACATGGTCACTGAAATCCACTCTGTCTGACCTTCTCTCTTCTGGATTTTAGAAATAGCTGCCTGCAGATATAGCCTATGCAGGGTCACAGAATCTAACGAGGTAGCATAGGTTTCCTAAATCTGTTCCCTTCTGGGCTATTTCACTCAAAATGGCTTTAATGTTTTTCTAACTATGGTGATATAGCATACTCTAAACCTCTCTGTTTCATACTCTAGAAATAATTTTGGTCTGATTTGAACAGCAGCAGATAACAGCAGGCCGGGTCACATAATCTGACAAGGCAGCATAACAGGCTGTGGAAATCCTTTTCCCTTCTTCCCCTCATTCACTTAGATTGACTTTCCAAATTCACTCTGATGATGTCTAATCTTTATATCCTAGAAATAATTTTGGTCTGACGTGAACAGCTGCAGATATACAGCAGGTTCACCACATCCGACAACACAGCATTTGAAGGTGCCAAAATCTGTTACCCTATTCTATTTCACACAAAACTTGGTTGTGATCCCAAATGAACTCTGTTGATGCCTAAAATTCTCTCTTCTGCATTTGCGGATGAAAACCGCAACAGACATACTACAGCAGGGTCACAGAATGACTTTAATGTTAATGGTTAATGAAATCAAAATATATTCTTGCGAAATCTTAACTTCTCTTTTCTGTAGCATATTTACAGCTTGGTCAAGGTAGGCCTATCTGATATGGCAGCATAAACGTAATCTGTTACCTCATTTTGGGTCTCACTTCGGCCTATATTAAATGTCTTTAGCTAATATGTATACTTTGAACATAAATTAATAATTTGTTTCCATGCACTTATTTTGTAGTAGGCCTAGCCTACATATATAGGCCTACATTATAGCCTACTTATATTAAATAAAATAAAATTTACTTAAAATTATTATTCCAGGTAAATTTGATTACCACAAACAAATTATTGCATACAATTTTAAATGGCAGCGGGGCAAGTTGTGACAACAGCATTAACAGATCAAAGTTTGTTACATGATCACTCCCAAGTCACCTCTACTTTTTTGCATTATTTAGCTATAAAGAAATGCAGTTTTTCTTTAAAGTCTCTATAGACTGTTTGCAACAAAAAATAAATTATTTTAGTCAATTGAAAGGGAATGTCTGGGTCTTGTAGTTCTTGAATGCCACAGTTTATTGAAATAACCGTGGCGTGGCACCGCTGGAACACAATTTCCCAGAAACCCATCGCACTCCACCGTTTACAGAGTCACTCGGCTAGCCGAAAAGAGACGAACATCGGGGCGATGGACCGCTGTGCTGGACTCTATGAAGAGTCGGGATAATAACTTTCTCAAACAGAAGACGCAACTTTGGGGGAAAAACAGCGGACACGTTTGCTCCAACTTCGTTTGAGAGAGGTGAGATCTAGGCTACGCAAGAATAAACGGACTAATAAGAGTTTTGTTCAGGAATGATGCTTTATTAAATATTTATCATATCTGCGGGAGAGCATCGTGCGCGCCCTGTTGAACCCGCCCCTAGGTTAGAAAAACTGCCATGAGAAACTCACGGAGCCTGTAGAAAGATGGGAAAAAAGATACAAATTCAGCGAGGAAGACACAAGTGTTTCAGTTAAGCCGTTTTTTTTTTTTTTTTTTTTTTTTTTTTATACTGTTTAATGCAACAGTCCAAACCAATGTTATGATGCCGTTAGTTTAATCGCATTTCGGGCACGCATTCATAAAAAAAACCCTCTGCTTTTCATAAATGCGTTTGCTGGATATAGTTAATGTGCCCATGATTAGTCGGATTTCTGTCTTTTTATTTCGTTGTGACGTTGTTGACATGGGTAGAAAAATGAGTTGTTAGTTTCCGTTTTCAAAGACGGACGATCTGCCGATGTTCAACAGATGGAACAGAATTCTGTGTTTTACAACAGCATCAGACAAAGCTGTAATTAACGCAATAAGTAACAATAGCATGGAGTTTTCATGTAAAATAAGATGCTTTTTGCTTTGCAGTTAGATAGAGCGAAAAGTATTCACATGCAAATCCCTCCTCCGCTCTCTCTCTCTCTCTCTCTCTCTCTCTCTCTCTCTCTCTCTCTCTCTCTCTCTCTCTCTCTCTCTCTCTCTCTCTCTCTCTCCATATTTACGGGTTTCTTGTCTAATCATTTGTTAATCAAATCTAGTAGTTACAGGAAGAGTCTGGTGATGATACAGGCGTCAAACGGAACGGTTACAGTCAGTATGCCCTCAAACCCAGTTTCGTATTGTCATACAGTAGACCTATTTCTTATCATTTGGTTTATTTCTGTTATGCAGGCTACATTTCAATGTCCACATATCCTAATATGTTGATTAAACCACAATATTTGAAAGTGACCTTAGGAATGACAGGGATAGTATAGTATTTAAAGTCAGCATGAAATCAAAATTGACAGTTCTTGTAATCTTCAATCAAAATTAAAATATATATTCTGGCAGCTATTTATGAAGTAGGCTATTATTTTATTTAAAAAAAAAAACAGGAAAAGTATTTTTAGCCAATAATTTCAGCTTATTTTTATTTTAATTTAGCACTTCAGAAAAGGAGTCTCTTTATTTAAATTTTAATGCATTTTTGTCTTCCTGTTGTATTTTGTATTTATATATTCATTCAGATTTAACTTGGCATGTTTGTCAGTTGTAAATTGGATACTGAATGTGTATTTTTAGTATGGTATTCCAATGCACTGGACTTGGAATAAGTGTTTAGTCAGTTAAGTTAATAAATAACTTGCCAACTTGTTATTTGCAGCTTCTTGTTATCGAAACCCAGTGGAGGAATTAGATTTTGTGATTAATTAAATTTGTACTGAGAATGTGAAAAGGCCCATGTATTGTGTTTAATGTACACTCACCGGCCACTTTATTAGGTACCCCATGCTAGTAACGGGTTGGACCCCCTTTTGCCTTCAGAACTGCCTCAATTCTTCGTGGCATAGATTCAACAAGGTGCTGGAAGCATTCCTCAGAGAGTTTGGTCCATATTGACATGATGGCATCACACAGTTGCCGCAGATTTGTCGGCTGCACATCCATGATGCGAATCTCCCGTTCCACCACATCCCAAAGATGCTCTATTGGGTTGAGATCTGGTGACTGTGGAGGCCATTTTAGTACAGTGAACTCATTGTCATGTTCAAGAAACCAATTTGAAATGATTAGAGCTTTGTGACATGGTGGAAGTAGCCATCAGAGGATGGGTACATGGTGGCCATAAAGGGATGGACATGGTCAGAAACAATGCTCAGGTAGGCCGTGGCATTTAAACGATGCCCAATTGGCACTAAGGGGCCTAAAGTGTGCCAGGAAAACATCCCCCACACCATTACACCACCACCACCAGCCTGCACAGTGGTAACAAGGCATGATGGTTCCATGTTCTCATTCTGTTTACGCCAAATTCTGACTCTAACATCTGAATGTCTCAACAGAAATCGAGACTCATCAGACCAGGCAACATTTTTCCAGTCTTCAACTGTTCAATTTTGGTGAGCTCATGCAAATTGTAGCCTCTTTTTCCTATTTGTAGTGGAGATGAGTGGTACCCGGTGGAGTCTTCTGCTGTTGTAGCCCATCCGCCTCAAGGTTGTGCGTGTTGTGGCTTCACAAATGCTTTGCTGCATACCTCGGTTGTAACGAGTGGTTATTTCAGTCACTGTTGCCCTTCTATCAGCTCGAACCAGTCTGGCCATTCTCCTCTGACCTCTGGCATCAACAAGGCATTTCCGCCCACAGAACTGCCGCTCACTGGATGTTTTTTCTTTTTCGGACCATTCTCTGTAAACCCTAGAGATGGTTGTGCGTGAAAATCCCAGTAGATTAGCAGTTTCTGAAATACTCAGACCAGCCCTTCTGGCACCAACAATCATGCCACGTTCAAAGTCACTCAAATCAACTTTCTTCCCCATACTGATGCTTGGTTTGAACTGCAGGAGATTGTCTTGACCATGTCTACATGCCTAAATGCACTGAGTTGCCGCCATGTGATTGGCTGCTTAGAAATTAAGTGTTAACGAGCAGTTGGACAGGTGTACCTAATAAAGTGGCCGGTGAGTGTATATTCAGGATGGATTCAGCTTAGACTGTAATTATACTAAGACTATTAAAAAAGTCCTGCAATCAGTTTTAGAGTCCTCAGCTTGTTTGTCTTTCTTTGCATCATGGGTTACCAATGATCACATTATTGTTATTTAGTTCATGGCATGCAGTGGGCCACATGTGGTTTTAATCAAATTGTGTTGTCTTTAAAGACATCAAAATAGTTTAGACATGAATATTCTTCTTTTGTTTTTGTGGAAACATTCTGTTTGAGCCCTGCAAATCTATACATTTTTTATATGTTATTTGAAACTGTTTTGTTTTTGTATTTTGTACTGTATGAAAAGACACTTCTAACCACACATCATATATGTGTTGTTTTAAATGTGTAAACCTATATGTCTTTTTATGGTT